ACCACCCCCCAGGCCCCGGGGCAGTACTGAGGGAATACCGCACTGTCATTGAGTATGGACGAAGAAAATGATGCTGTTTCTCTCTGCAGGTATTCGGTCATGCGTGCTGTTCTTGAGACACGGGTGCAAGAACTAACAGAGTCCTGGGCACAGATCTGAGTCCTGGCACAGCAGCTGGAATAAGTGGCACAAGAGATTTAGAAGCGGGCACTCTCTCAGATGCTGATATTGGATGACAATGCCCTGACTATGCACTTCTTGACCTCCCATGGAGTGGGACCTTGGCACCTACCAGACTGTCAGTTGTCAACACCCGTTGGGAGGGGGGGTGGGGGTTGGGAGGGGGTGGTTGGGTGGGGAGGTCCCTTGATGGGGTGGCCAGCACTTTGAGGTTATCCTGGGCTCTTGGGAATGGATGCTTCATCTTCAGAAACCTGATACTCAAACAAATCCAGCCAATGTCATAGGGACATCAACAAAAACCTCCTTTCCTCATCTCTACCTCCTTTCCCTGAACGTTTCCAATCAGGTCTGAAGCTGGGTTGGGTGGGGAGGGAGGGAGAGGCTGGTTGAACCAGGACCTTGCATCTGGAGTCACGTGGAGACCAGACCAGCTTAGCGCTGCTCCCTCTCCTCCCTTCAGGCCCACGGTGGCAGCTCCAGTGGTGGAGGATCCCGTCTGCCTGCTGCAGGTTTGCTCCATGGGTGAGACGAGGAATGGGAGGCTCCACCAATGGATGTGTGACATCTTGTTCAAAGTGTTGGTGGCGGCAGTGCTGTCAGTGAGGGCGGGGAGGGGGGACAATAACCCGTGGTCACAGCACAGAGGCGATGCTGCAATCCCAACAAGGTCAAGGTGAAGGTCACCAAAATCTGACCATGGGGCTGCTCTGTCAGACAGAGAGAGAGGGGGAGATGATTGGTGATGATTTAACTTGGGGATCGCTACGCCTCAGGCAAGGGGTTGGAGATGGTGAAGGTAAATCCTTCAGGGTAACCTCACACTGTTCGTGTCGCTCTGCATCATCAACCGGCCATCCCATCCATCTCGGAACTGTGTGTGTGTGTGTAACCTGGGCTGGAGTGGATGGATGGATATCACAGGAGAGGTGTGTACCCTGAACATAACCTCACTGTACGGCTTTATGCAGTGTCCCGTCGGTCCCCTCACCTGACTGAGGCAGGACGTTTTGGGAATGAAGGTGGTCTCACTGCAGCTGGGAGCTGAGCTGGTGATCTGCGAGGAAGATACCCGAGAGAGCAAGAGTGTTTGTGAAACATGTGACGCAGTTTCCATGAAGGAGGTTTGAAATGGGCTAAGGGCTAACCCCCGTTCTCCAGAGCGATTGACTGCACTCGCTCTTGACCAGCCAGTCAGATGTGTTTCTCTAATGCAGACCACAGTCCATGTGTGAGGGAGAGATCACCTTGATGACATCTCCGATCTGATCTCTCCAAAAATCCGCCCAGTTAGCCCTCTCCAATTCCTCTCCTCAGGAACATTCAAAGAGGAGTGGGCCATTCAGTCCCTCAATGCTTCCTCTCTTGCCTGTGAGTCAGCCGACAGACCAGGCTCAAGGGGCCGAATGGCCTACTCCTGTTCCTATTTCGTATGGCCTAATGGAAAAAATCTGCACGTATTACCACATCAATAGATGCTGCAGCAAGGCTGAGGGAGCTGTTCAAGCGATTGCAGTTTCCATTATCACCCAGCAACTCACGTCATTTGACAGAGTATTGAAGAGAGAGAGACAAAGGGACCTCAATCCATGATTTGAACATAAACATTGATGCCATTTGTTAAGCCATGTGCTCCATCCTGCCTGTGAAAAGCACATTGATAAGGTCAGGGCCAGAATCACGTTGCACTGTGAGGACGGAAAACCAAGCCTGGATTTCGAAGGTGCGGACGAGGAAGCTGAAATGCACTCTGAGTTGGTTATCCATTTCCAGTGATCAGCTCTCAATGGCAAGCGTTAGAACTGACGGGGGTAAAGAGCCTGGGGAGAAATGAGGAACAGGTTATTGATTTGGACAATGAGCCATGACCATAACAAGCGGCAGAACATGCTCAAAGGGCTGAATGGCCTCCTCCTGTTCCAATTGTCAGTGGATGGGTTACAACCAGAAAAATGGCCTCAACCTCACTGGAATAAAATAGTCAGAAAGAAGGGTCTAGGCCCGAAACGTCAGCCTTCCAGCTCCTCTGATGCTGCCTGATGCATCCAGCTCTACACCTTGTTATCTCAGAAAGTATTGGGTTTTTCTTCTCTCTGAGTTTCTCACTGATCCTAATGTGGCTCGTGGCATATAGTTAAGGCTGGGAATCGATAGATTCTCGATCCATTGAGGAATCAACTGTGATAGAGGAAAGCGGATGTGAGGAATGATGGCGGGGCAGGTTGGAGGGACAGTGGTGTGTTAAATTATTCCCCTGGCTGGGGAGGGGGGGGGGGTTGTGTCGTCCAGGTGAGGGGATCAGAAAGGGGCAGCCAGACCTCCAGGCTGTCCACCAACAGACTTAACATCACCACTTCAGCTGGCTGGAGGAAGCGTGCACAAGTCCGAACCCAACACCCACGTGCCCCCCACCCCAACTCACATCCCCCTGACTCCTTCCCCATCCTGACAAGGTTTCTGAAAGATACCTGCATTTCTGGGTGTTTGCTCCCTTCCTTCCTAACCGCTGCCAGGGCAACTGTTCTGAACCCCAGACCCAATGGCGAATCCCATCTGTGAGCACTGCCCTGTTTCTGAAGACAGAGCACCACCATCCAATCAGTGTCTGACCCCCAACTTGAAGCAGACTGTAAGAAATAGATATATTTTTCTGTCGCACTATTTCGTGACATAACGTACGTTTGGATAGTTTTGAACTTCTCAGCTATTTTTTCAGAGGAAAGATGGAATTAAACCGAGTCTAACGAATGTGCTGCCTTGGTGATTTTCATTTGCTGTGTGTGACGGAGTGAGATTTGCACGCAAAACTTCCCAGCACTGGGCACAATTTTGTGATTTCGAGCATCAGTTTGTCTCCTAACCAACGACGTGACAAGAGTCCCTGCAATACACAGATACTGGTTTGTTCGCGTCTAGCTCTGGATAAGTATTTGAAATCCAGCAGGGACGAGCTGTGAGCACCGTTGGATCTCTGGGTAAAAACACTGCCCGATGTGTGTAAGGCAACAGGCCCACAATGCTTGTTGGATGGCCTAGTGGTATTATCACTGGGCTGTTAACCCAGAGACCCAGATAATGTTCTGGGGACCTGGGTTCGAATCCCACCATGGCACTTGGTGGAATTTGAATTCAATAAAAATATCTGGAATTAAGAATCTACTGAAGACCATGAATCCATTGCCGATTGTCAGGAAAACCCATCTGGTTCACTGATGCCCTTTAGGGAAGGAAACTGCCATCCTTACCTGGTCTGGCCTACATGTGACTCCAGACCCACAGCAATGGGGTTGACGCTCAACTGCCCTCTGGGCAATTAGGGATGGGCAATAAATGCAGCCTAGCCAGCGACGCCCTCATCCCATTCAAGAGTAATAAAAAAAGTATGAACTCGGAAAGAATTGGGGATTTCTGAGTCCTTCGAGATAAGATTTCTCTCATGGGACATGGGTGTCGCTGGCTGGGACCAGCATTTATGGTCTATCCCCAGTTGCCTGAGCTGCCTTCTTGAACCACTACTGTAGGAAGACAAACAGTGTAGTTCGCTAGATAATTTTGACCCAGCGATGGTGAAGTAACGACGATTGTATTTCCAAGTCAGGATAGTGAGTGTCTTGGAGGGGAATTTGTCATCTTACTGGGTGGAACATGGCAGTGTTCCATGCACTGACTTCCATTGTCTCTCAAGATATCACGGGCTTCAGGAGAATTTTGTTTCTTCTGATTCCTGACCCCTTCGTTGATTTCAAGCTGTGGATGGATTTTGTGTTCAGAAAGGAAGACAGCTACTGATAACTGAGCTTTGAGCTCATGCCAGGCACAGTAATTTTGTTCTCCAGCGATCAGCCCTATTTCCCAGAACGGTGTTGAAGGAAAAAAAAACCGGAACAGTACCCATGGGCTGAAGGTAGGAAATAGGGAAAGGAGATGGCCATTCCGACCCTCTGCCCCCCCCCCCCTCCCCCGCCAGCTCTGCTATCTCAGCAGTTGGCAGATCATCTCCCTCAGTGGCAGTCTCTTGTACTCTCTCCTTTATTTCTAGGTGTTTTTAAAAGGTCCTGTTTTCTGTCAAACATAGACAATGACTGAGCTCCCACAGCTCTCTGGGGTAGACAGGTCCAAAGATGCACCAGTGTCTGAGTGAAGAGGTTCTCCCTCCCTCAGTCCCTAGTGGCTTGTTCCTCTTTCAGAAACTGTGCCCCTGGTCCCAGACTGAGTTCAGGTAGGAGAAACAGCCTCCCTTCACCTACTGTGTCAGGCCTCGTCAATATGTAATACACTTGAACTGAGTTGGCTCTGTCGACGAGATCGTACGCATGGGCTCCAGTCTGAACATCCAGGAGATAACAAGGTATACATCTGGATGAACACAGCAGGCCAAGCTGCACCAGAGGAGCAGGAAGGCTGATGTTTCGAGCCTAGACCCTTCTTCAGAAAAATTCTGATTTTTCTGAAGAAGGGTCTAGGCCTGAAACGTCAGCCTTCCTGCTCCTCTGATGCTGCTTGGCCTGCTGTGTTCATCCAGCTCTACACCTTGTTATCTCAGATTCTCCAGCATCTGCAGTTCCTACTATCTCTGAACATCCAGGAGATCATGTTTTCCTGAGGGAGCGGTTTATGGGAGGTGCTCAGTATTAAAGCGGAGGATCTAACATCAAGAAGCCACCTGCAGTAGAGACTCAGTGTTGTGGCTACAAACCCAAACTCTGGTCCCTATTTGAACAAACTCATGTATCATCTGCAAGTGAAAGGAGCTGGAAAGTTAAGATTCATAGAATTCCTACAGTGTGGAAACAGGCCCTTCGGCCCAATAAGTCCGCACCGACCCTCCGAACAACTCATCCAGACCCATTCCCCTACAACCTACCTAATCTACACAATTTCCCATGGTCAATCCACCTAGTCTACACATCCCTGGACTGTAGGAGGAAACCGGAGCACCTGGAGGAAACCCGCGCAGACACGGGGAGGATGTGCAAACTCCACACAGACAGTCACCCGAGGGTGGAATTGAACCCAGGTTCCTGGCACTGTGAGGCAACAGTGCTAACCACTGAGCTGCCCCTAACAACCACCTCCCAATGATTGATCCGACTCACTGTCCTCCTCCTCCTCCACTGGCTCATTTCTTCCCTTGTGCTGGTACCTATTCCCAGATTCCGACACTCAGCAGAAACCGAGAGTCTATGCTTTAAATTACATCTGATTGCACTGTTTCCCAAAATTGGATAAAACACGCACAACGATGACAAAAGAACAGACTGGAATAATAGAAAAAATTATGGAAATATGAAGGAGGTACGACAGTGTTTGTCAGGAGGGACACAGAGCTGATAGTTAAAGAGCCTGTGTTCAGCAGCCCCGAGGCAGGAGGAAGGGTCACTGGACCCAAAAGGTTAACTCTGATTTCTCTCCACAGATGCTGCCAGACCTGCTGAGCTTT